TTCGTTGAGAAAGAAATAGGCTAGAGGGTAATGACATTGCCTAAATTCCCAGAAAATAATTTAGACTTCCCAGATCAGTGACAGCAAAATCCACTTGAAGTTGTTTGAGCAGCTCATCAATTGNTATACCTTCGTTGAGAAAGAAATAGGCTAGAGGGTAATGACATCGCCTAAATTCCCAGAAAATAATTTAGACTTCCCAGATCAGTGACAGCAAAATCCACTTGAAGTTGTTTGAGTAGCTCATCAATTGCAGTAGGGTCAGAGCTCGTGATAATAATGTTGTCAACATAAATCAAAACAAAAAGCATCATATTGGATTGCTGAAGAATGAATAGAGAGGAGTCAGCCTTAGAGGATATAAAACCAAAAGCAGTGAGAACTGTACTAAGTTTAGCAAACCAGGCTCATAGTACCTGTTTTAGGCCATAAAGAGCTTTGTGAAGTTTGCAAACATGGCTTGGCAAAAAGGGGTGAACAAAATCTTGTGGTTGAGCCATGTATACTTCTTCGGTGAGCTCCCCGTGTAAGAAAGCATTTTTAATATCAATCTGACACATCGACCAGCCACGAGACACAGCGATAGATAGAATAACTCGGATGGTTGTAGATTTAACTACAGGGCTAAAAGTCTCATTAAAATCAATGCCAGGAACCTAATGAAAAACTTTGGCGACTAATCGAGCCTTGAAGCACTTGATAATGCCATTTGAATTCTGTTTGATACGGTAAACCCATTTATTCCCCACAATGTTCATGGTTGGAGAGTAGGAAACTAATGACCAGGTGTCATTCTTTAATAGGGCATCAAATTCTGAGTTCATGGCAATGCGTCAATAGGCATGCTTAGAGGCCTGGGTGAAGGTGGTGGGTGTGAGCTCTTCACATGATGCTTCAATGAGCAATGCACGAGGGAGAGAGTAGCGCACTGTATCATCATGATGTTGTTTGGGCTTGAATATGCCATGCTGTGAACGAGTGGCCATAGTGTGAGGAGCCACGGGTGCAATAGGAGAAGTAGTGGGCAACAACGCATTTTCAGTTGATATGGTGGAACCTGCAAGAGAAAGGTCAGTGTTGGGTGACAAGATGGGTGAAGGACTTACCATAGGAGTCTCGTGGGTTGAATTTGAAGTGTGGGTTGAGCTGGAAGAGATAGGCCGACTAGAGGGAGACCCAAGAATAGATGGGGACCTATGAAAGACTGGGAGAGAGATGTCTGTTTGAGACTGAGATGGTGTCCCTGTAGAGTTAGTATAGAAAACAAATTGAAAGAGAGATTCATTGAAGACAACATCACGAGAAATATAGAGTCCCTCAAATTCAAGATGAAGACATTTGTGACCATGATGGGTAAGGCTATATCCTAAGAACACACATTGAGTGGAGCGGTAATTAGTTTTATGGCGAGTGTATGGTCGAAGAAGGGGCCAACAAGCACAACCAAAAATTTTTAGAAAGGAGTAATCAGGAATTTTGTGAAAAAGTTTCTCAAATGGGCTTTGGTTGTTAAGGGTGGGAGTGGGCCTGCGGTTTATTAGATAACATGCAGTCTTAAATGCATCCGCCCAATATTGAGGAGGAACAGATGCATAGGCCATGAGGGCAAGCCCTGTCTCAATAATGTGACGATGCTTACATTCTATGGATCCATTTTGTTGATGGGTATGTGGACAAGTCAGACGATGGGTGATGTCGTGTTGTTTAAAGAAATTATTAAGACGGCGAAATTCACCGCCCCAATCACTTTGAAATGATTTAACCTTACAATCAAACAAGCGTTCCACATGAGTTTGGAATATTGGAAAAATACGTTTAACATTAGATTTGTGAGAGATAGGATAAAGCCAAGTAAAGCGACTAAAAGCATCAAGAAAAGAAACATAAAAACGAGATCCATTAATAGAAATTGTGGGAGAAGGTCCCCATACATCACAAAAAATTAACTCTAAAGGAGAAGAGAATGTAGATGATAAATTGAAAGGAAGTTGACGACTCTTGCCCTGTTGACAAGCAGAACTAACAAGTGCAAATTTATTTGAACTAACAGGTAGGTGATGCTTGGAGCTGATACTACGAACAAGTGGAAGAGTGGGGTGGCCCAAACGTTGATGCCATGTATCAAGGGAGACAGGTTCTCCAATAAGAGCAACAGGAGTGGAGGACTTGGATTGTGAGTGGAATGAGTAGAGCCCATTTTTAAGTGGTCCTTGATGGAGGATTTTGTGGGTGACCTTGTCCTTAAGCAAAAAAAAGTTAGGATGGAATTCAAAATAGCAAGAATTATCTTGAACAAATTTAGAAACAAAGATGAAATTTTTAGAGATGTGAGGAACAAGTAGAATATTACACAAAAGAAATTGAGAGGTGGGTGTAGAAAGATTTTAAGAGTCAATGTGATGTATGGATAAAGCCTCACCATTACCAACTTTGATGTGCTCATTGCCCGTGTACTCCTCTGCATGCAGATTGAAATTTGCAAAGTCTGAGGTCAAGTGATGTGTGGCTTCTGAATCTAGATACCAGTTGAGATCCGTAGGGAGTTGAGGCATGGCAACATAAGCGGCAAGGTTGGGAGTTTCATTGTGAAAATTGTGATCAAAGCAATACCAGCAAATAAGTGCTTGATCACCAGGTTTGCCACAAACCTGATAGGTGGGCCTATTTATAGTAGATCCCACTGGTTGTTGCTGAGAGGTCGATCCAGTGTAGTGAGGACGCCCACCACGTCCACGACCCCTGCCTCCACGGTTTGAGAAGTGTTGGGAGCGACCATTATTTGAATATTGTGGTTATGGTGATCTGTTGGGACCTCCACGAGTATTGTTTTTGGCTGCAAGATGGACACTGGGAAAGACGGTGTTAGTAGAAACTTGGTGGAGCTCAAGTCGATTTTCATGAGCTAAGAGATGACCGAACAGTTCATCAATGGAGAAAGGGTCAATCCATGTAGTAACGGAAGTGAAAAATGGATCATACTCCGGTCCCAAGCCAGCAGGAATGAAGGATATAAGCTGGCAATCTGTGAGAGCTTCACCAGCAGCAACTAAGTCATCATAATAGCCCTGTAATTTTTGAAAATAATCAGTAATGGAATCACCACCTTTCTTGATGGTGGCAAGCTTGAGGTGAGCTTGAATGGTTCTAGCACAAGAGTGAGAGGTGTACATGCGATCCAGAGCACACCAGAGAGCACAAGAGGTAGTGCAACCAACAACATGGGGAAGGATCTGCTCTAAGAGAGAAGACATGAGAATACTGAGGACCAATTGGTCTGTTTGAAGTCATGTGAGAAAGGCAGGGTTGACCATAGTAGCATTACTAGAGTCTGAAGGAGATTTAGTATGAAGAGTTTGTGGAGGAGATGGAGTGGAACCATCGACATAGTGATAAAGGTGCTGGCTACGGAGATAAGGTGTAATCTGGGCTTTCCAGAGGATAAAGTTGTCACGGGTTAGTTTTATAATGACAAGATGATGAATAGAGGATGGAGTTGGAAAGGGAGGGGCACGAGAAGCGTTGGTAATTTGAGGAGAGGTTTGAGAGGACTGTTCTGAGGCCATGGTGACGTGAGTCAATTGCTCTGATACCATAAAGAATTTTAGAGATAGATGAGAAAACCAGAGGAAGATGATGAGAAAATATATTTTCTGTATATATTTCATTGTCATCCTGATTGTACATTTATAGACTGTAGAATAACTATCTGATAAGATACATAGTTTGAATTTGTACATTTACAGACTGTAGAATAACTATCTGATAAGATACATAGTTTGAATTTACAAAATACATGAGCTAAATCTTCGAATCCTTATCAAGTTGTTGTGATTGTTTATCCTTGGATATCTTATCAGATTGTTGGTGAAGATTATTCTAAACTTGAGCAGCAACATGTTGTTGGATGGCTAACGGCACTTGGTGTTTATCTGAACTGGTTTCCTCAATATAGCATAATTGGGTTGTAAGACCTCGTAAAAAATTTAAAGATGAGCAACATAATTTTAAGAGTACTTTCATAAGAAGTTTGAATCGTTGTTGAAGGAATGATCATGAAGCATGAATTTTTCGAGTATTGACTTTCGGGTTAATTTAGTTTTTGGGGTATTTAAGCTTGAGAAGAATGGTTAGGTAAGTTTCTATATAATTTTAAGTCTAAATAAAACTATCATTGAATTTAGAAGGTCGAAAAACTTTAAAATATGTGATATGAGGTGTATTAGAGATTTAGAGGTGTTTCGGGCCAAATTACAAAATTTGGGGCTCCGAATGAAATTTATAGTACTTCTCATAAGAATTTAAGGACCCCAAATTACCCAAAAAAAAAAATTTGGTCTTAGCCAATGTCTATGTGATCGAGACAATAAATGGTATCGCCTAGCAAAACACTTTTGATGTCTTATTCTATAGTCAATTGTCTATCACTGTGTACCCATATTTCAGCTACATAAACAACCCACATGATGTCTCACTCGACTACGCTTTGTTCAGATCAATAAACCTCAAACATGACAACAACATGGCTTACAACAATATCTTCGACGCAACCGTTGATGCATTTGTGTATGCCATGGTGAGAGAAGGGTTTGAAGGGATTCCGGTGGTGGTGACGGAGACAGGTTGGCCAACGGTGGGCGGCGAAGCGGCGAGCGTTGAGAATGCGTTGGATTACAATGGGAATGTTGCGAGACGGGCGTTGAGCGATCCAGTGTCGCGCAGGAACTGCATGAGAGGAACCATGGCCGGCAGGAGACTGTGGTCGAAAGCTCCGGAGGAAGGATGGTATGAACTGGACAATATCGTCGCTGCATGGGAGGATGAGAGCTTGATTGTGTCAGCAACGCCCAGCATATGAAGTGCTTGATATAAGTTCCCAGTGGCTCGGACTACATGTGGTGTGTAAAATGAGTCTTTTAAGAAGACTTCGTTGCCAACGGCAATGTACCGGACTTGATTTGCAGGAATGTGGGCAAGGATGTGGACTGAAGCCATTCTAGAGACTAGTTTACAATGCCGTTGGCGAGGGAAGGTAGGGCCTCGTTGGGGACACCGATCATAAGCTGGATTCCGATGCCGGAGAATGGTTTTAATGCATCTGGGTCAGCCTTGAAGAGGCGAATTCTTGTAATTCCGTTGGATTTGATGAGGTTGAGAACGTCGGAGGGCTGAGGAAGATTGTTTGAGACCCGGCCGTAGCAAACTCCCGACTGGTGCAGCAGCTGCAAAAACCAAGAAAATCAAAATGGTCAAAGAAAGTAAGAAACTGCAAAACAGAAAGCCTAAATAACAATGTTCTGGTTACAAATGGGTCTGGGTGATACCTGTTGAATGTAGGAAGAGGAAGAAGATGAGAGAGACTAGAGAGACAAAAAGGGGCTGAGTTTTCATTCTCATTAGCACCATTGTGGAAGAGTACAATGAAAATTGAGTATTTAATGGATACAAGTATATATTGTATGGGAATTTATACAATGAAATACAAAGAAGAAGTGTTAGGTTCTGGAAGTTGGTTTGATTTTGGTTTGAAATAGTTTCTTTTGGGTTTGCATTGCTTTCTCTTGAAATGTGTTTCATTGAAGTAGCCGTTTCAAGATGTGGCCTTTGAACTTTCAAAATGTTGGTGTTATGGAAAGTTGAAAGTGAGATTGATATTAAAATTTAAGTTAATATACAAGTTGAATTCAAACGTTGTTGTTTAAAAAAAAAAATTGCCTATCACTTAATATGTATGAACTGTAATTTATATTTCTTAGGTTGAATTTGTAGTCCTCTATCCGAAACTAACTATAACCATTTTTTACTTAATGAATTATCGTTTAAACTAATTATAATCATATTTTAAACAATATTGCCTCATTTATTCTAGGACAATTCATCTTACACAAATACCTAATTATATCCATTTAAAAAAAGTTCATTTTTGTAATCCAAACATGATTTGATTCCTCCTTGTCTATTTCTTCATCCTATGACAGGTCCAATTTGACTTCGAATAATAAAAGTTTCATGTACAAAACTTGAAATATGTTCTCATTTAACAATTTTGCCAAAAGACAGAAGGTGCATGCCCAATTTCCTTTCCAAACTAGTCCATACTATCACCACACTCATGCTAAAAGTTTAAGTTTCAGTTCCGCATTTCTACATCCTTAAAGTTGCCGAAAAACTGGTACAAATTAAAGAATAAACCAAAAAAAGGCAAAAAATACTGGGACTTGCCTGACCCATATAGCATGATGTAGAAAAATAATAATAGATGCAATTAACAACAGACTATGTTTATAGGACCCAACAAAAAAAGAAAAATAATTCCTTTATTTATTTGCACTTGATTCTTTTGATCACTTTGTAACTGAAAAGATAAAAGAAAGAAAAACAAAAAAGAAAGTTGTGATTTATCATCCATATAAAAAAAAAACTACAGTATATGCTTCCTCTTATGGCTGACATGAACTTCAGAAACTTCCATGCACCATATCAGTGACCAGGTCCTCTAGGGCTAGGTCCCGATGCCAAGCGTTCAAGCCAGCATGACAAGGTCTCTTTTGCATGCTCGTACATCGAGGGGGTAAGCCGCAAGGTGATTTGCACGGGCAAAATCTTCGGATAATACTCTTGTAGCCTCAACACGGACTTGGCTCGTAATCACAACAATACTGAAGAATATGATCAAAATGGTAATTACACCTCGGAAATTCATCGTCGTAATTGTTGCCCAGATGAAGACAATCCTACAAGTTGCCAAAAAACAAATAATCTCAAACGAAGTATGGGCGGTTTGTTTGCGCGCTCTCTCTCTCTAATGGTTAGCTTTTGTTGCTACCTAGTACATGTTTATAAAGTATGCATGAGGTTGGTATACTTCTACAGAAATCAATTTTTTTTTTTTTGGTCTTCTGGGCCTTGCAGCTTTTGAATGGCATTAGAGGCTTAAACCTTACTTGTTGACCAAGGTATATTTGAAGAAGTCATGCATACTGAATCTTTCTGTGAAATTGATGGCCGGGGCCTGTGTTCTTGGTGACTAAGGAGAACATGTACGTGGGTTCTCTAGGGTTGAATTCGTCAACGGCTATGAATTTTAAATGTTTGGAGTCCGCAAGTTATTCTAAATCCTAATAAATTGTTGTCATTCATTAATTCATCAGAAAAAAATATTAAAAAAAAACCCCAATTTATTTATTCGGTAAATTAGTGGAGCGGTAGTCTTTCATTGGTGGGGCACTTTATGTTGCTTTGACCCGCAATTAGTGTTGAATAAACATACAAAAAATTTTCTGAGAAATAACATTGTTGATGACGTGCTTGTAGATTGGCTCGAGGCTTGCAAGTGTTGGTCCTTTGGATCAAAGAAGAACAATGCTGATTAATATGAAAGGAAAAACCTAGGAAAAATAGGGGTTTATGTTAAGTGAGTCAAAGATTTGAAAATGTGAGTTGATTGACTGCTCACTTGTTCATGCCGTTGAATGGACTGTGCAAGCAAACTTAGAAATTGTTACCTGAGGGGCTGGATGACCCCAACTTACTATCTGCAACTAGAATTTCAATGAATTAAATATTTTTTAATCTGAATCTGAGTTTAATTAATAGAATGTGAAGATATGTTTAATCGATTGTTAGAATTTGAATCTCTAATATAATATTTAATGACTAAAATTTGAATAAATCAATGACAAAATCGAATCATATATATATGTACGTAATAAAACTTGATATGTTTTAAAAAGTTGAGTTTAATTCATGTCTAATTAAATTATTAGAATCCAAATCTAACGGGGTTGGTTGGATTTGATTAGATCGGATCAGATATTGAGACCAAATTTTTAATTTTTAAAGGACTTAGAATGCAGAGTGTGAAAACAAAATTTGTGGAATATACAAATTCAATGCAGATAGTAGTTTTCATATTTGTTGTCGGAATCTGATTGTAGTTTTCAAATTCAAGTCTATTTTTTCCCTTTTCTTTATTAAATGTGTCTCCATGGAAAAGAAATTCAATTTTCCAATACTTATCATGATCAACCTCATAATCATATATGATGTCTCCAAAAAAAAAAAAAAAAAGGTCAAGACAAGCTTAGCCTTCCGGTTGTTGGTGATCTAACCCATCATAGGATTAGTCCAACAAAAGAATTAAGAAGTTGATTTACATTTCGCCAATTCGAAGACTTTATTGCTTGTATTACATCAGGCAAAGTTGCATTTTTTTTTAGAGCGAATTGGAAATTTTGAACATTGTAGTTTTTCATAAACATAATTAATGTTCAGATCAAGAGAGACAAAGTCATCAAACTATAAGATGATTCCAATGTTTAATCACAAGGGACACATTGGATAATGATGACAGGAATTTGAGCACGAGCCCGACACAAGGAGGTGGGTTGCTCGAGCTCGCCAGAGTCCAATTCTTCTACAACTTGGTTAATTCACTTATTCATCAAGTGCTTAAAGTAAGGTATTTCCCTTCGACATCTTTTATGGAAGCAGAGATTGGGCATAGACCTTCTTATACCTGGATAAGTATTTTAGGAGTAAAGAAAGTTGTGGAGGCAGGTTTAAGATGGCGAATAGGGGAAGGTTCCAAAATTAATATATGGTCGAATTGATAGATATCCACCCCTGTAAGTTTTAAGCCAGTTTCTCCTAGAAGGGGTCTTCATACTCCAACTAAGGTTGGGGATCTTATTAACGAGGAAATGCGGAGTTGGAATGATCAACTGGTGGACGAAATTTTCATGCCTCATGAGGCGTTTGTGATCAAAGGGCATTCCACTTAGCAGATCTCCAATGGAGGATAGACTGATCTGGCACTATAATTCAAATAGGAGGTTTTCAGTTCGGAGCACATATCATATTATTATGGATCAAAGGCTACTGCAGGCAGGCCCAACAAATTCATCTCCCTCATCTAGCATTGGACAACTGGACTGGAATTTTATTTGGAATCAGAAAATTCCAAATAAAATTAAAATTTTTGCTTGGCGGGTCTGTTCTAACGCATTACCAACTGGTGACAATCTTCAGAGAAGGAGAATTGAGGTGAATGGGAGGTGTGCAGTGTGTCAAGACGAAGCTGAGTCATTGTTACATTGTTTAAGGGATTTCACTTGGGCCAAGGCAGTATGGGGCTGCAGTTCTTTAAAGGTAGTTAGCCAACTTAAGTCCCCTAACCCTGGGCAGTGGATGTGTGAAGCTCATCAGGCCCTTCGATCTGATGAGTTTTCATTGTTCCTTATTTAGTGTTGGTTTGTGTGGAGAAATAGAAATACTAGAATCTTCGAAAATTTGGTTCAAGATCCCATTGAAGTGCAGATGAAGGCAACTGAATTTTGTAGTCAATTTCGGGAGGCAGTAGTTCAGCCTCTAGCCGAGCATATCCCAACGTTGGCGTGGCTTCCTCCAAGAGCAGGTACTTTCAAAGTAAATTTTGATGCCGCTGTGTATGCAGATCAGAATGTCTTAGGAGTGGGGGTAGTCATACATGATGATAGGGGTACTTCGTAAGGGCATTGTCCAAGAGGATTGCTATGAGTTGTGATATTTGAAAAACAAAATCTATTGTAGTGAAAATTGCAAAACAATTTGCAAGGCTACAAGAATTAGTAGAAGTCATTTTGGAAGGAGATTCGATAAATGTTATAAATTCTATAAGGAATGGTGATAGAGATCTTGATCCTCTCGAAGCCATTTTCCAAGATATTAGCAACATAGCAAGGAGTTTTCGATTTTTTTAAGTTTCCGAAGTTCGACACAATAGGAATAATGTAGGTTATGAATTAACTCGTTTTGTTTTACCATTAAATAGTAGCGTTGTTTGGATAGAACATACATCAGACTTTGTTATGTCTTTCCTATTTGGTGACATTCTTGAGTAATATAATTTTATCGATGTTTCTCAAAAAAAAAAAAAAAAAAACTTTCACTTGGATCAATAGTCTACCTCACCACTGGATATTCGGAATTCATTCCAATCCTCCAGTAAGGGATAAACATCCCAATGGTAGAGAGAGAGGGAGAGAGACAGCACCTCGTATGAGCTAAGGATAGTAAGGTTGAGATTTCTGATGTCGAAAGTAGGAATAACAGAAAAAATGGTCTTTGTGTAGAACCAACGCCAGCATGTAGAACCACCACCTACTGCCGCTCCAACACCACCACTGCACCATCTACCATCACATGCACAATTCTACCACCACAAGATTTCCACCAAACAACCACCAGAACCCCCACCAAAACCAGACCGTCAAACTCACCATCGCTACCACTGGAACCCACCATAACTATATCTGCCGCTAATACTGCTCCACACCATTACCAAACCTTCCACACTCATTACCACCAACCCAATTCCACATCGTAAACCCTAACTCCTCTTCACCTCCAACATCTTTTCCCCCCTTTGCTCACCTCCCATATTTCTTGCCCTTTATTCTCTCTCTCTTTTCCCTTTTTTTGTTTTTTCTCCTCTTTTGCTTATCAGAACAACTGGATGGAGTTATCAAGGGAAGAAGCTGATTTTCAATAGAGACAGTGAAAGGGTCAAAAATTCTATGCCATTCTAATATAGACAGGGGAAGGGTCTGAGATTTTACATATGGTAGATTTTTGGGACATGAATATCACTTCTAAACACTTACACGTAGAATTGTGGGATTTCAAGTGTACTATCTACATGATAATACAGAGAATATTGATCTTGGAAAAAATGGGGTACAACTCTAATAAAAAAACATTTTATTTACAAAATAGTTCACGTTTCATCAACTATTTAACATAACAGCAAAACACAATGGAAACGATTTATTCCAAATGCATCTTTCACCAACTCATCATAAATTTCCAGCCTTTCTCTTACCTTGTTCTTCTATTCATCTCAATGGTTCAAAGGGTGAATATAAACTCTGCACATAAGTCGCTGATTCGATTAAGAATTCGCAAACCATAAGATCCTTGAATATCTTTTTCCTCGAATCATACTCGAAATTTTTTTTCTCAGTTACTTGCATGATAACTTCGCCATTTTTAGTGACAAGCAATGGCCCCACAATACTAGTGCTGACCAAAGCTGGAATGGTCATTAACGTAGTCCAAGACATCCTCTTTCCATACTCTTTCATCAACCATATTGTCCATCTCTCAGTCTCACCCATATTGTCCATTTCTCAGTCTCACCTCCATACTGACTGCAAAGAACACAAAGAAACCATTCTAAAACCCCTAAATGAAGAACACATTTCTGTCCTCCATAATCAGATTGTGGCACCAGCCCGAATTACCCAGTTGCTAAACCAAGAGATGCAATAGCATTGCATAAACTCTTAGTCGCCTCGTAAATTACTAGCCAATGAATAAATCCGTCAACAAACACCACTATTAGCTAGGGGTGTTCATCCTACCTTATGGATAGAAAATATAGTCTTCTGTTTTGCGGAAAAAAAAATTTTGGCCTACCCTACCCGATTAAGTATGGTATTCCTAAAATCGGATGAACACTTTTGTAATTATTATTTTTTTAATTATTTTAACAATTCAATTAAATAAAATGTACCAATTTAACAACACAATAAACAAATAACACAAAAATTTAAAACAATTACAACAACAATTACAATAAAACATAAGAAAGCATAAACATCAATCCATCATAATTGTTTGACAAATACAATAACAATTATTTTAAGTTTAAATCATACAGTTAGAGAATTAGGGTTTTTAGTTTATCTATATATATATATATAAATTAATGCGAGTAGGAATGCGAAAATTAATGATTATTCCGCATTTCTATCCGATTTTTTCGGCTAACCGTTCAATAGGTCAACTAGAGTTAGAAATTGTGCCTAAGCAGAAATTTGAACACCCTTACTATTACCTACATTATATCCTTGTGTGGGAAATTCGAAATCCAATTCCAAGAATTTGTTTTGCGGGTATAGATAAAAACTTCGTCTCTTCTTTTGCCTGGCGAGATGTCCAAATCAAAATTATCATTTCTTTCGCAACATGTATAATCAGCATAGCAAATGCTTCTCACAACCTTGTAGTCATCGGTAGAGAAATCATAACCAAATCCATAAAACACCAAATCATCAGTCTCATAACCGATTGGTGAAAGCCCCATCCATTCTCTAGTGGTAGGGTTTAAACAGAGGTGTTTGCCATTGACTGTGCATAATAGTAAGCCATTAGAAGATCCCAAAAACTGGACACGTTGGTTTTTCAGCCACGTGCCAGGAGACTCCAGCTTATCGACTCTTTGAGCATCGGAAGTTTCAAAGTCGATGGATTTGATTAAGAGAGAAAGATCAAGAAAAGATGATATGATTATGCAACGGTGGTTGCATGCATCGTGGAACTGCGGATCAAAGAATAGATCAGGCCATGAATTGCAAATGGAGCGAAAACGGAAAAGTGACTTAGCTGGGAGATGCAATAATATGTTGAAGATGATGTCCTTGGGAATGTGAGGTAATAGGTTTGCTATGTTCTCTTTGATAGCCTTTCTCATTTGGAGTACAATGGGGTTTATTCTTTGATTATTGTTTGCCATCATAGTTTTCTGGATTTGCAAAGTTTGGCTGCGTTTGAGGCTAGGTAGGGTATTTTTGGATGTCAAGAAGAAAAGGAATCCTATTTACACAAGGAAAGCAAATACTTTTTAAAAAAAAAAAAAAAAACCCTAACTGAAGGTAAATTCGGTAAATATTTGGGTAATAGTACTATAATTTGGTGAACATTTGGGTAAATTGTAGTATATTTATTCTTATCCCTATCCTTTTCGGTTCTCTTCTTGAATAAAAACAAATTGACCAAATGATATGTCATTACTATAATGCCGTTGTTAGTCCCAATTTTACCCATTTCAAATTTAATTCTTTTTCATTACAATAATACCAAATGAAGGGGTGCAGAATTGTTGCACCTGATTAGACGTCTAATGATCTAAAATGAGAGTTAACACATGATTGACCACGTATCATTGGGATGATGACTCCGACCCATGGCAAAATAAAGACGAGCTCGGCATAACATTTAGCCAAGCTCTTGGGTTCAACCAAGTAAGTAAAACCACTTCTAATGCCTGAGCCAATAAGCTATTGGATTATTCCCTAACAGAACCAATAAGCTAGATTAGGTGAATCATTGCTAGTACCTAAGAAATTTATCAGCTCGGCTAACGTAAACAAGCGCAAGACAGTTGTCATTGCGAAGATCACTCCATTCCAAAAATATTGATAAAAACAATTTATGGATAAACATTATCAGCGTGACCGAATGAAAGGGGTGATAAGGAATAATAGAAGAATCCTAGCACTGATCACGAACACAACAGCTAAACATAGGGTGTGCCACCTTATATTGCCAAAGGATGGAAACCCTAGAAGAGGGTCCAAACCACTACAAATCCAAAGTAAGCTTAAGTCAGAGGTTTGCACTATATTCCTACCAGTTAGCTTTTCTTATACCTTGAACCACTACTGACTTAAGCATCGAAGCACCTCCAACCGGCCCATCTCGATCTCTTGCAGTGCGCTCATTTTGTAGGTGTAGTGGTGCAACGTTTTTTGTTTGTTCCCAACCAAATCATTAAAATTGTAAGAAACTTTTTTTATTGCTTTCAATTGGCACCATCTATGGTAAATTTGAACAAAAAGTGTGATGTCAAGATTGCAAAGCATGATTGAATCTCTGATGAACGATGATGATGAGAACTACCCGATCAAAATTATGAAGTGTCATTCCCCTCTGATAGGGACATCAAAGAGAATGCCTTTAGAAACCAAGATGAGTATCCTAACAACCACGACAATCCTTCGTCGGCTAGTTATAACCTCGAAGACGAGGCACAGAAGGAAGGACTACACTAGAAGAGATGCCCCTATCCTCAGGGGGAAATCCTAGCTTTCAGAAAGTAACTCCAATCCTTGTAGGATCGACTAGATGTACACGACGCCATGTTTAATAAGTCCTATGACAAGGAAAGAAAATTAAAGTAGAAAAATGAAGCATTGAATGATACGCCAAAAAGATATAGAGCAAGGGATGTCCCAGAAAGAACCAATAATCGAGCTACCAGTGAACGTCACTAAAGATATTAGAGTTTAACGATAGAAAGGAATAAACCAAGGCATAGAGAAAACTCGTATGATATGAATGACAGGAAAAAACTATATCGCACAGAAGACAGAGAAGATGCTTGGAAGTGCTTATCATGGAAGAACTTGATAACAAGCTGAAGCAACCTGAGCAAAAGTCAGCTACAGAGTTGACAAGGAAACAACCGAAGAATACATTGGAAGTGTGTAAGTTCACCATCCCAAATTTCAAACTATATGACGAAAAAATGGATCTAACCATGCACATCCGTCATTCAGGCAGCTAATGGTGGTGCACAAGAAGAACGAAGAATTTTTATGCACAATGTTCCCTAGTAGCCTAGGCGAATCAGCGATGAAGTGGTTCAACGACCTAGCTAGGAATTCTATCTACAACTGGGTATAACTTGTTGAGCAATTTACAGCTCAGTTTATCACCAACAGTCCGTTGGGCATTGCTATCCTTGAAGAAGACATTTTGTGAGTATGCTCACTAATATTGGGAAACTATGAATGAAATTGAAAGTCATAATCCCGAGATCATTGTTGCATCCTTCAAGATTAGTTTACAAAAGGAAAATCAATTGTATCAATCGTTGACATGAAGACCGACCCTGGACATTGAAGAGCTCATGGCCTAAGTCAAGAAGTATGCAAATGCTGATGATGACCCTGGTGGGATACTAACCGAGATAAACCTAGCAAGAATCAAAGCGACAAAAAAAAAATTCAAATGCACAATCTCAGTTCAAGTCAAATGGGAAGGAAAATGAGTGTTTCCCCTTAAGATATTCCTTTGTCATGGTAAACACAGTATTCAAAGATCCCATTTACAGAATTTTATCCCAGATCAAGGGAAAGTCATTCTTTAAATGGCCAAACTAGTTGGAAGGAGACCTAGAAAAAGGGAACTCAAATCTGAGGTGATGTTATCACCGTGACATAAGGCACATGACCGAGAATTGTTTTTCTCTAAAGCAATACCTCAAAGACCTCGTCCAAGATGGACACCTCTTGTTGTTCGTAGAGACTAAAAAAGGAAAGACTAACATGAATGGTGAGTCAACATGATTTAGAAGTAGTACTAAGGTTTGGTAGGAGTGGTAGAAGTGATTCATGCGGCCACCAACCCAAACATCGCCAAAAATAATTCGGCTCGGGCATACATATAGAAAGCTTCCAAAATGAGATAAATTTATCAAGTTGGTGTACCATTCGATAATTGCAAGAAACATAAAATTGATCAATTGGAAGGATTGGTCAGTTTCTCTGATAGCGACCTAGTAGGGGTTCACCACCCACATAACAATGCCTCAGTCCTCACTTTGCGGATAGCAATCTTCAATGTGAAAAGACTCTTGATTGACCAAGGGAGTTCCTCAAAGATTATGTATTCCAGGCTATTTCACAAGCTTGGGTTAATGGACGAGAACTTGAAGCCTAAAAGCACTCCACTAGTCGGGTTCAATGGAAAGATGATCTTGCCAAAAGGGCGAATAACACTCCCAATGTGAGTCGGTCCGGTTGGCACAATGACCGAGTTCCAAGTGGTTGAGGCAAACTCGACATACAACACCATTATAGGGCGAACTTGGCTCCATGAGATGAAGGCAGTCCTATCCACATATCACCAAAACATGAGGTTCCCGATTGAAGGAGGAGCCTTCGATGTTTGTGGGGACCAAGCCTGTTCAAGAGTTTCTTGGTCGCCTTGATAAAAGGGAAAAGGATTAAAGACAACTGAGAAAGAGATGCAACACCTAAACCACCCAAGAAATAGCAATTAAAGAATGAAAGGTCGGCCACTGAAGAAACGTTAATTAGGTCGGCGGAACATGAGTCAAAGAATTGAAGACAGTGTTCCTAGAAGAAGGTACCAAGAAGTTTTTCTTAGTGGGCTCCTCATTGGAGTTGCATGATCAAAAGATATTGGAGGCCTTCCTCAAGAAGAATGTTGATGTGTTCACTTGGAACCTCTATGAAATGCCAAGACTTTGCCTTGAAGTCATATGTCACCACTTGAATGTTGACCCGACTTTCAAACCGGTAAAGAGGAAGAAAAGAAGGTTGGAATCTCAACACAATGATGGCCTAAACAAATAGGTTGAGAAATTGTTGGAAGCACAGTTAATTAGGAAGGCCATCATACTCGAATCCTTGACTCTTCTCTCATCTATCATCGAGCGCAATCAGATCTCAGGTGTACCCTTTGTCAGAGTCATACATGTGTGTCACCAGGAAATAGGACAATCAGGGTCGAGTATGCTACTCAAAACCTAGAATTAAATGAAGTATGACAGCTCATTAATGCGAGTCATGTTGGTATGACAGGCAATTAATAGATGTCTAATCCTCGAAGAACGTGAAAATAGTGATCATTACAAGACATTAATGGCTACTAGATCGAGGGGGACCTTTAGGTGCTCTTGAGGGGATCTAGTGCCTTCTCATAAAGGCTCGCCTATGGGCTCTAAGTACCAATGTAGAGACTCGATGGCCAGAAATTGAACCATGAATGCTTAGCATGGTCCCAAGAGAAGATCCAAATGCTCGAGCACTTAGCATTAATGAGACATGACGAAATAACACTTATTATGCTAGAATGCGAACCCAGGCTATTAAATTCTAGAATTAGACTATGGATGAGAGGCATTATTACGAATGTAGGTATAAATACTCCTCCAAAAACTAAACTCGTATAGACAATATGAATCCAGGCTATACTGTGTGCTTTCACTTGAACGCCGACTGATTTAAGTATCAGAAGGGATAAGCTGGGTGTACACGCAACCCCTTTACTGATTTTTCTTCCGTCTCAGGTTCATCATTCAAAATCATCCAAAGGATTGCTATCTTAACCTATTGCAGGAATTCTCCCCGTGCAACAACAACTGTTAGATCATTATGCCCACTCTTCTAGCCCGTAGTGCTACCATCTTTATGGCACCATTGCTGCCGCCCGTTTAATAATTTAATTTGAATCTGTAGAACTAACTCCGCAGTCTTATTTGGCTGCCATAATTTTTGCCATTGTCAAAACATTGAAAACCTTGGATGCAAATACGGTGTTAGCCTTGTTTTCATTCCTTCCTATTGTGGTCCTTTTGGTTCTGGAAAAGGCGATTACGAGTGAGAAAGCGAGTGTGGTGGTGAGTGTGCTTGTAGAGATGTTGGAGAGTAAGCTTGTGGGGACAGCAAGCATGAGCGCTATGATTACGTGTTTGGGCATTTTGATAGGATTTTGTGTATAAGAGGATTGTGATTTGGTTAAATTGGGTTGGAGACACTTCTTAAGTTCTAAATTGATGAGCGTCCAAAGGTAGGTCTGTCAATGAATCAAATTCTGATATGAATTTGACCCAAATCTAAATTAAGAGATTTATATTTTTTTATCTAAATTATTAAAAAATTA